GAAGGTTCTGAGGAAGGGTCACCGGACCTGAAACGTTAACTCTGTTTTCTCCTCCACAGATGCTGCCAGACCTGCTGAGCTTTTCCAGCAGCTTTGTTTTTGTTCCTGATTTACAGCATCCGCAGTTCTTTTGGTTTTTATTACTTTAAGATCTCAGCCATGCCCCTACTTCCATGCGTAAATCCCTTTTTTTTTAAAAGTCTATACTGAGTCCTCCTTTGACTACTCTACTGGAAACTTATGGATTTCTTTTTATGTTAGGGGCCATTCTCTTATCAAACATTATCTTTACTTCTCTTTTTCTTTCCATTTCCTTCTAAACCTTCTTTGTTCAGTCCGGTTCTCAATTGTATTATCCACCTAACATCTGACAGAAGGAGATTGTGAGAACTGCTGAGAATACTTTTTCTGTTTCTTCTGAATCTCTGCCGTTTTCATCATCTGTTTGTGTTTGTTTGCCCTACCTTTCCATTTTGAAGGGAATATGGCATGATTGCATCTGAATGATATCTTCTTTAAAAGCAGCCCGTTGTTCTCTAAGAGTAATGCCTGCCATTTTTTATTTCATGAACCAGATCCATTCCTATTCCATTGATGTTGATCACCCTCCAAGTTTATTATTCTTAATCTGAAATGTTCCTTGGTCTTTTCCATAATCAACTGAAATGAGGACACAAAATGCTGTTTTGTAGGCTGACAAATACGAATGATCAAATTTAGAATTTCCATAATATTTCACTGACTGGGAATTTCATGAAAGTGGAAGCTTACTTCTTATGTTGCATATGAAAGACCGAATTCCTGTCCTGTGGCAAAGGATACTCAATGGGACTGATAAGTCAGTGGTTTGAGATGGGATTCCTCCTTTCCACATCTCATCACCTATCCTGGAATGAAAAGACCCAATGCCCCTTTTGTGAGGGATCTAAAAAAATCACAAATCAGACACCTGAAGGGTTCCATCTCTGGCACCAAAGCAGATTGTGCCCTTTCATCCTATCTGGCAAGTGGTCACTCAGGATATTTCTGGCACCTCTTGTGATCTCAGCATGTGGCCCCAACCTCTGACCCTTTTGCCTAGCCTCATTTGGTCATTACTTTCCAAAAGGTATTTGCATAACTTTCAGATGAAGTGAGAATACTAAAAAATACAGAAGACTTAGACTGGACTGCTTTGATTAAGCATGTTGCCATACATGTGTGTAAAAATGATAATCTAACCTTTCCTTTCTTCCTATTTTGATTAAATTCTTGATTGGCATGTCCCACCATTCATCAGTAAGCATTGTCACATTTCCATCACCTCTTTCTCATTTTGACAAATAAAACATTGATTCACTACATAGTATAAGATTCATTTTGACAGCTATAGTGTGACTGGCACAACCTATTCAGATTGGAATATATTCTTAATATTGTATGCCCAACTCACTTGCCATTTAATGCTGCCACTCCCACTGTGCTTCTGGCAATGGACATACTGGCCACAAAGGTCCACTGACGTGCTTGTGGATCCCATCTCTCTACTGTGTTTAGGTAACTCCAACCATCATGGCCACCTACTGCGTACATTGGTCCTTCCAGTACTGCAACTCCTGAAAAACATGTTGATGAAATTGACAGGAACCATGAATGATCATACATCTAATATTGCAATTAAGTGGTAAGGACAGAATGCACCAAAGCAGTCTCCTTCTGACTACAATTTGTCATGTATGGAAGTATGGTACATGAAGTGGCTGTTCCATCAATTTGCTTTACTGTTACAACTTGAAAGAAAAGCTGTTTCTTGGAGTCTGTGTGTTCCAGATCAGTCTCATGTTCCATCAGTCATATTCAGTTATGCATATTATCATTTATCAAGTAGAACTTATTTTGCTGCATTTTTACAGCTGATGTAAATGTCACAGTAAGCCATTGTATCTGCAAATTGCCACATATTAAGGGAAATTAAATAATTACAGAGTCACGGTCACTCCATAGGTATGACATTGCATGTGATTTTGAAGTGAATCTATTTTTGAGGTTTCAATTTGTTGTCACCTCCTCCAACCTTGCAAGATATCTGCCCTCCTCTAATTTTGGTCTTCTTATCATCCTGGATTTTTGTCACTTCATTATTAGTGGCAGTGCCTTTGGTTACATTAATCTAAATTTTGGAAATCATTCCCTCTTGGTTTCTCTACCTGACATTCTATCTTTAAGAGATTCCTTAAAACTTACCTCTTTGTTCAAGATTATAGTCATCTATCACACCATTTAATCATGTGATTCAGTGATACACTTTGTTTTGTGGTGCTGCTGTGAAGCACCTCTGGATGTTTTATTGCCACAAAGGCTGCTATGTAAAAATCAGTTGTTACTGTTGTTCAAATTAGAATTATATTGAATAGTACTCTCTATTTCACTTTGATTTATTTGTAGTTTACTTTTGTTTTAACTGCCATTTTCTATTTTCTCTTGTATCCTTCCTTAAATTCAAGGCGTTGATTGCTTTGTCTCCCCTAAATAAAGAGTTTCATGGGGGCATAGGAAGAGGAGAAAATCATTTAACTCCTTCAGCCTGTGCCATCCTTCAATGAGTTTGCTTTATCTTGTGCTTTAAGCCAATATTGGTACTTGCACATTGAGATACCGGTCCAGAGTATCTCAAGGTATGGTTGTCTGTACACATACTGTCCTTAAGGCTACTTGTTTCTTTGTTAAAGCTGTTCAATTTCTTATGTAAAGTAACATGGATTGATTTACATCTTTGCATATTAGGTTATCAAAGACAGCTCTCAAATACTAAGTGCTAACACCTCTCTAATTCCAGCTTCATTCCAGACTGGTGTTTTCTCTCTGACTGAGATGAGGGTCATACACTCCGTTATATCTTTATAATTGACATAAATCTTCGTGAACCAACTCCATATGCCTGTTATTTCTTCATAATATGTTTGGATCACAATAATTGATCAATCTCAGATTTAACACTAAGAGCTGGCTGAGCATCAATCACCAATTGTGGGCATGATGTGGATATGCTGGTGTTGGATTGGAGCGTTCAAGGTCAGAAGTCAGACGGCACCAGGTTATAGTCCAAAAGGTCTATTTTAAAACGCAAGCATTGCTGCTTCATCAGGTAAAGTGGACCCAAAAGCTTGTGATTTCAAATAAACCTGTTGGACTACAACCTAGTGTCGTCTGACTTCTGTACATTTGTGTGGACAGTTCCAAATTCCTATGTCCTTGGGGTGCAAAATGATTCACACTGCCATTCAATGCAATCATGGCTGATCTGATAACCTCTAACTTTATTTTCCTGCCTTACCCCTATAACCATTGATTTCCTTACTGATTAAAAATCAGTCTATTTCAGCTTTGAATATATTGAATGACATAGCCTCTGCAGATCTCTGAGGTAAAGGATCCCACAGATATACCATCCTTTGAGAGATGAAATTCCTCCTCATCTCTATCTTAAATGAATAACCTCTTTCTTTGAGCTTATGCACTCAGATTTTAGACTTTCCCACAAAGGTATAGTACCTGTCCACACCATCTTGTATAAAGCTATCTACACTGTCGCTCACGACGGGACAGGTTTGCTGCCATCATTTTCTTTTAGGATAGAAAATTATGGGATCCGCCTGGTCTGGTGAAGCAAATGTAAAGCACTTGCTCATTTAATTAGAAGAGTTCTTGTCTTAAACAACATCTCATTTATTGAATTTTAAAAATTAAGTGCAATGTGATCGAGATAGCAAGAACTCCAGATGCTGGAGTCAGAGATGACACAGTGCGGAGCTGGAGGAACACAGCAGGCCAGGCAGCATCAGAGGAGCAGGAAAGCTGACATTTTGGGTCATTTCCCCTCCCTCTCCCCATTTCTGAAGAAGGCTCCTGACCCGAAACGACAGCTTACCTGTTCCTCTGATGCTGCTCGGCCTGCTGTGTTCCTCCAGCTCCATGCTGTGTAATCTCTACAATGTGATAGACATTGCCAGAGAGATTAACTTTGCTTTTATGCCTCATAATTGCTTTTAATTAAGTTTAAAATACTAGTTTTGCGCCTAGTATTCTCCCTTAAACTGAATGTAAAATTCAATCATATTGATGCTACCCAGGGACATCTTCACAAGGAGGTCATTAATTAATCTGAGGAAGAGTCACCAGACTCAAAATCTAAGTCTGCTTTCCCTCCACAGATGCTGGCAGATGCGCTGAGTTTATGTTCCAGAATCCATAGTTCTTTGTTTTGTTTAATTAATTAATCTTATCTCAATGAGGTATTCTAAGAAACCATCCGGAAAACATTCTGTGAACCGTTATTCTGAGCTATCTTTGTCCATATAATTTTTCTAGTCTATATCCAGATTAAAATACCCTATGCTTGTTACCATACCTTTATCACATTGTCCCATTACTTTTTCCTTTATACTTCGTCCTACCATATGGTTATTGTTAGGGCAGCTGTATACTTCTCTCACAGTGACCTTTTACCTTCAACATTTCTCATGTCTGCAGAAACCGTTTCTACATCTTGACTTCCTGAACTTGGGTCATCCCTCTCCATTGTGCTAATTCTACCATTAACTAACACAGCCTTTCTTCCATAATTTCCTTGTTTCCCATCCTTCCTGAAAGTCAAATACACCATTCAATATCCAATATACACATTATTCAGATCCCACTCTATGTCATCCTATGCCTATGTCTGTGATGGCTATTAGATCATAATTCTTTATTTCAATTTGTGCCACCAGTTGATCTGATTTGTTTCAAACACTGTGTATATTCAGATAGAGGGCCTCCAGTTTTGTCTTTATATTATTTTGTAACCTTTAGCCTTAGCTTTTGATCCCCTCTTCGATTAACAATCTATATTCTTTGTCATTTTTCTTTTTGATTTGATTTCATTTTTGCAGTCCTAAGTACAGTGAAAAGCTTTGTTTTGCGAGCTGTACAAGCAGATCATATCCCACCTTAATATCTTTTCCTCTCTTGCATCTTGTCTCTAATCTTTGATTTACTGCATCTTTAAATGTGACTCCTTGCAGCACTACTGAGCTCAAAATCTTCTCTACTTTCATAATGATGGGGTAGACCATTCCAACATGATTGCTTTCACTTGCCCAGTTTCCCACAAACCCAAACTAACTTCAGCCACACCAGGCTTTGAGCCATGCAGTAAACAGTACCAATCACTCTCTCTGTATTGTGTTCTACTTCCACGGCATTTCTTTTTGTGTCATCACATGGCTTCTTGTACCATGATTGTTTAGCTCATCTACCATACAGGTCTCACTCCCAGCCAAAGAATGGAAGCACAGTCTTTGAAAATTTTTAAGGCAGAGGTAGAAAGATTCTTGATAAGCAAAAGCATGAAAGGTTATCAGGGATAGGTGGAACATGGAGTAATTAGATCAGCCATAATCATATTGAATGGCAGAGCAGGCTCGAGGCAAAGTCCTGTTCCTAATCATACTTTTACATGTTTTTGGGACGCACATTGTGTTGTGCGGAGCTTGGGAATAACTTCTTTGAGTTTATAAAATGTATGGTCATGTAATATGCAGCATAATACAAAGGATAAATGAGAAAGAGTTGCATTGGTTATTCCAGTGACAGCATGTTCCGAATTTAATAAGAAAAATGCCAAAAAATGAATGCCCTCGATATGGGTTTCAATCAAGGCATTACAAAGATGATAAATGATGCTATTTCCAAAACAAAGGCCTGCAAGGAAAGACTGTCCCATATAAGGTCAGCCTTACTCTCCCTGTAATTATCAGGCCTGCCTTCAGGGAACCATTCTTACAAAGTGAGCAGGAAAATTCTATTACATTTAATTGGTTTCCAAAGTCTCTGCTTCTTGAATTATTTACAATAGGATATTGGAATAGCATTTTTTTTTCTGATCTTGTTTGATCATGCCGGTGAAATGCCAAAGATCAATGCAGTCCATTTCAGTCACTTAGTTCTCTCTCTATATATGTTATCAGTTGCAGATAGAAATTCCTCACACAATTTTGGGTGATACTGACTAAAATCATGTGTGTCTTCATTAGGGATACAAGCAATTGCATTTTTACAAGTAATGTTGAACGGTTAGTATATCCATGATCAATAAACTAATCACACCTATTGACAGAAGTGCATTCATATCTCTGATGAAACTCTACAAATAAAAAATGGCCAAGTGTCAAGAGATGTAGATTCAGTTGAACAAATTTGAATCACTAATTTGAGACATAAAACAAGGCTCAGATTGCACATCAGTATGATCTGTATGCCTTCTTGTAATGGTTTTATACACAGAGATTCTATTGGGAAATTGAAGGGGAATATTAACAGACCAGACTTTAGGTCTTCAGAAGAGTTCTACTCTGCCGTTGATGTGGTTACAAACCCTCAATAACGTATCACAGTTATCAATTTATTAAGGCAATTGCTTAATAGTCACTTTATCATCATGGCAAATAGCCACAGAGATGTTTGACAGCCAAATACTCTATCAATAATGGCTCATAACATCCATCATTTTCCCTTGCTGTTTTGACTAGCACAGGTTTGAAGAAGTGACAAATTTATATGTTCACCAGTCACCCAA